TGCTATTCGGTTGGAGGCCATTGCTATCAGGTTGGAGGCCATTGCTATTCGGTTGGAGGCCATTGCTATTCGGTTGGAGGCCATTGCTATCAGGTTGGAGGCCATTGCTATTCGGTTGGAGGCCATTGCTATTCGGTTGGAGGCCATTGCTATCAGGTTGGAGGCCATTGCTATTCGGTTGGAGGCCATTGCTATCAGGTTGGAGGCCATTGCTATTCGGTTGGAGGCCATTGCGATTAGGACGTCACTTGTTCCGGCGTTTCTTCCTGAAGGCCCCCGGCGGCTTTTGGGAAGGGCTTCTCAGACTTCTCGGACTCGGAGCCGAAATGAAAGTGAAGTCATTCTGAAGTACTACTAGCGTGGCACCTGTTACTACTAGCATGGCACTTGTTCCTAATAGCTTCTTGTTTCTCCTAGTAAGGCACTTGTTACTAGAAGCGATGTACTTGTTACTAGTAGCTACATTTTTTAGAAGTCTACACGAACCGCTTTTCAACACGTTTCCGAAATCCAGTCGACGCTTTGGACGCAGTCGGTTCGATTGTTTCACGCGACGGTGGAAGTCGTTTTCAAAGATAACACCGACAGGTTGACGGTGAGTCCTAAACTGCGACAAAGGGCATCGCTACGAACGGAGCAGGAACGCTACTAGGGGCTCCTGGCCTTACTACTAGGAGCAAGAAGCTGCTAGTAGCGCCCTCGGTTGTAGGTTGGAGAGCGATGATGTGGGCGCAAAGAGTGCCATGTGACCTGTGCGAATATCGTGGCATTCATGTAGAGACAACCGTTTGAACCCAATCCATCTCGGTCAGCGCAGGGCCCGTCGCTTTGCTGATTTCCGTACCAATTGCAGTTCTCTGCCTGGAGGAGTTTGCAAGCCCGAAGGAGCCTGATCGTTTTTTTGGATCTATCTGTGCTGACTTCTTATGGGCCTTTGCATTTAACGAATTCGGCGCTGCGCCTTTACATGACCTGTCATAGTGAAAGGGAAAGACAGCCTTGTGCGTACCAAGTTCTTCTTGTCACTACGAGCAAGGACGCTAGTAGGTTGGAGGCCGCTCTTAGGTTCACAGTGCTTACCATGTGCGGTCTTGTCGCACAGCCTGAAACAAACGAAACGCGAAAACGACGGTCGATAGTTGAAGAAAGAAGTGTCAAAACGAAAAAGACACGAAAAGACGGATTTCGGATTGTGGGGTGCGAGTGATCGAGGCGATGTGAGTCACGTGCCTTCTGTGAAAACAGAAACGAAACGTCAAACATATTATTGCACTTGTTTCTACTTGCTTCTTGTTACTACTAGTAAGACACTTGTTACTAGTAGCGATGCACTTGTTTCTAGTAGCTTCTTAAGAAAGAAAACCATTGTGTTGCAAAAAGAACACATCACGGCCGTGGAAGCTAGTTTCTCTCATCTGAGTTGCCACCCGCGGTCGATCACGAGCAACAGTACCTGTCAAGACCAAGGCACAGAAAAGCACGAAATCCAGCGAAATAATCATGGCCCGTTTCCCTCCCTAGTAACAGAGGGCATCACGACTAGTAACAGGTGCCTTACTAGTAGTAACAAGAAGCTAGTAGAAACAAGTGAGTGCATCGCGACTAGTAACAATTTTCCTTTGTTTTAAGACCCGAGGCCCTGCCTCCCCTAATCAAGTAGGCAGCTATTTAATTACGTGAGGAGGTAAGCTACTAGGCTAAGTTAGCTGATTTGATTCGATTTTTAGGGCTAAGGTAGCTATTGACGCTACTTGTGGCTGAACGATACCGCACATACTATTCATGTTCTGAGTCTAAGACTTACTGAGACTTAAGACTAAAGAGGGGCATGTGATTTCTTGTGCTGGCACCTGCCGCTGTGCCTGTTTTGGAGGCTCGCTTCCCTGCGGCAAGGGATGGAGAACTTGTTTTTGAGCTTTAGGCTTTAGGGTTGGAGGCCATCGCTGCCATGACTAGCAAGTGTTGCAAACGCACTCTCGACTCTTCAGTGCCTGAGGGAAACACGCCACTGAGGATAGAGGGCAACTTGGTCATGCGCCTGACGGGTCGAAGCTACGAACGGAGCAGCAAAGGGCATCGCTGCAAGGCTCACAAGTGCCTTACTAGTAGTAACAAGAAGCTATTAGGAACAAGTGCCACGCTAGTAGTAACAATGTTTGCTATTAGGAACAAGTGCATCGCTATTAGACTTAAATTTATTTTAACATTAAATCACGGGTCCAACGTCAACTGTAAACCGAAGCCTTTCGATTATCCGTCAAAAAGACATGAATAAATGATTCATCATCTCAAGACTCAAGACACTAGTAGCTTCTTGTTACTACTAGTAACAACTGCCACCCTAGTAGTAACAAGACGCTATTAGACTTAAATTTAATTTAATGTTAAATTAATAGCTTCTTCATTGTTACTACTAGTAAGGCACTTGTTACTAGTAGCGATGCACTTGTTTCTACTAGCTTCTTGTTACGATTCATCATCTCAAGACTCAAGACTCATTTTTTCCTTTCAGACAATCCAACAATTTCCCTTCTTCCCTCTTGGCCTCAACGAAACGGACACAGGTGTGCATGGGACAGCGGAAAGAAAAGAAGTGATTAGCTAAAACATGAAAGCTTCTAGAATAAACGTAGAATCAGTGGCAAATAGATTCTACAAAAATCACAGGTGATTTGTTGTGAGATTCTTTTGTCTAAATGTGAAAAGCAATGCTGTCATAAGCGATGAGCTGCACGTTGAGATTCTGCTTGTCTCAATCGAATCTATTCCCGCTATTTACATTGGACATGTTTATTCTCAAAGAATGTAAGAATGGAGAGCATTTGTATTCTTTCTTCTCCTTATTTCTTCTTTTCTTCTCATTCTCGAGCCGAAGCGATGCTCGACAATCTTGCTTCTCACCGTCTTCTCGCCGTACGTCAAACGTAACACCGAGTCTCCTTGTCTGGGACATATTCATCCGTTTTCGCAGGTACATATTTTGGGAGATATTTGATCTGTGTGATGTGTCTTTCCCGTGCCGGCCCTCAAAGGCAAAACACAAGTTCTCAAACATCCTGAACACGAGATGACAAATGACACAATCTTCCTTATATCGATGCTTTCTACGCAGTCCAACCCTGAAATCCGAGAACAACCTGAGCAAAAAATGCGGTCTTTGAAACGCGGTGAAATGCGGTCTTTTTCTTTTTTCTTCGAATCGAGATGAATCGTCGAAAATCGAAATCGCGCGTCGTCGTCTACCTCGCCCTCAGCAAAAGCCACAGCATGCAGCTTCCTTCTTGATTTTCAGGAACTTACAAAGTTGATCCTTGGAAGTGACCCCAAACGCCTGAGGTGCACGTGTGTCTTTGATATCTGCAGCGATATTCATCTTCCCATCTTTGATAAACTCTTTCTTCAATTTCTCCTGTGACCAAATCAACACTTTGTCAATGGTTGGAGTCTTCACTCCAAGCAATTCACCCACACCACGAGAGAAACACAGCCCCGTGGGAACGTCTTCACTCAAATACCGGAACTGGAAATCCGGCACGTAGCCTCCTGGAGGAATCCGGGCGCTTTTTTCAAGCAAGTTTCATGTTAATAGCAAACATTGTTTCTACTAGTAAGGCACCTGTTACTACTAGCGTGGCACTTGTTACTAGTAGCTTCTTTGTTTCTAATAGCAAACTTGTTACTTGTTTAAAGTTAAGCACTAACATTGTTTCTAGTAAGGCACTTTGTTACTACGTTCGCGATGCACTTGTTTCTAAGTTCGCTTCTACATTGTTCTTACTAGTAAGGCACCGGGTGCACTACTAGCATCTCCTTGTTCTTCCTTCATGGGATGGCAAAGGCCCTCGTAGGCGCTGTTGGTGTTCATCGCTGTCTTCAAGCTGCTGGCGTCGGAGATGCTCGATGAGTAGGACGACATATACCTTCCATTTCCAAAACAAATACAAACATCTTTTTTGAAAAACACTTCTTGAATTCTTCAAATCGAAAACAAGGCCGGTCCAAGGTACCACTCCATCACCGTCTGCACTTGCGAAGTGTTGTACTGCCCATCTAACTTCTTCAAGGCTGCACAAATCCTCAGCAACGTTATTAGGAGCACATCCATATCGTTCTAGAAGCAAACGTTATTCGTTACTTATTGTTCTAGAAGCAAACGGTAGCTAGTAGCCAGGAGCGATACCGCTACCGACAGGACGAAAAAACAGCGGACACTTTGTTCGGTTCGCTCCCGCCAACCTTCGAAGAAGCGCTCGCACTCGGGAAACTTCACATGTTCTTTCTTTTTGCTGATTCACTTCAAGTGACTTCTGGATATCATCTGAAATTCCGGTCAAAACGTCCGCAGTCTCATTGTCCACACCCTGGTAGAACAGAGGCTTCTTGGCCAAAGGTTTACCATCCCATGCGTGCCAGCGACCGTAGGTCCTCAAAGCGGAAGATGTGCAACCTACTAGCGATGGCATCCAACCTAATAGCAATGGCCTCCACCCTACCTACTAGCAGTGGCCACCCTACTAGCAATGAACCCTCTTCTACTAGGAATGGCCTCCACCCTACTAGCGATGGCCTCCACCCTAGTAACTAGCAATGGTCTCCAACCTAATAGCGATGGAACGAAGCTTTAAACAAGTTGCACATCCGGTTGCAAGCCAAGTGGCACACCCGGGTGAATGACTTGCCCTGGATTTCCCAAGGAAATGCTCATAATGTTGGGAACTTCGTTGATCTTGGGCTCAACACCCAGAAGCCCTTGAAGCTTCAAAATCACATCCATCTTGCTTTGCTTCACGGGAGGCACCACGGCTGCGCCAATGGTCTCCTGCACAAAGCCAGCCCCAAGAATGGCAAGCTGGCCTGTCCCTATGAAGGTCCGCCTTTCTTTCTTTCTTTCTTTCTCTCTCTCTCTCTCTCTCTCCAAGTCTTTCTCTCTATGCTAGTGCCGCTTTCAGATTCTACAAAAACGATTTGGACACACTAGGTTGAAGGCCATTGCTATTAGGCTTTCAAGGCTTCTATCCACAGGGCAACAAGTATGCCGCAATGCCGTTTAGCGATTGGAAGCCTAAAAGCGATGACCTCCAACCTAATAGTTATGGCCTCCTACCTACTGCGATGGCCTCCAACCTACTAGTGATGGTCTCCATACTACTAGGTACGGGGGAGTAGGCTTTAAAAAAACACAATTGTTTACTTTTTCGTCCTTGGTGCCCAAAACAGTGGCTGTCTTGCCCCAGTCGTTGAAACGACAGGCCCAGGGCAAGGTTTCGAAGGCCACCAACCCCAACGTCTCGGCCTTTTCACCCATCACCTCGAAATTCGAAGAAAAAGAGGAAAGAGGAACAGAGATTAACAAAAGAGATGAAAGGTCTTCTTTGTTCTATTTTGCTGGAACAAGTTTCACGCGAAAGGCCTTCTTGAAGAGGAAGTCACAGCCGGAACGTGCAGGCATGACAGCAAAAATGGTGCCCGCCTAAAGGACGAAGGACGAAACGATTCCGATTTAGTAAAACCCGATGCCAAGTAGGCGCCAAGGAGGCTTGCTACCAGGCTATCTTCTAGGTCGGACGCAGGAAAACTCACGTTTGCACTGATGATTTGTTTCCTAAATTTTTCGGGAAACTTGACATCGGTACCAGTAGAATATTTGCAGAGATTGTCGACGTCACACGTCTCGTGCCCAGCTTGCACCTGCACATAGGGTTCCAGTTTGGTGAAATATTGCCTTGAGACATCACAAGCACATGGAAATGCACGGGAGCAGTGAACAAGAAAAGGTCTATTTCAATCAAAAGGTTCAAGCATTTTGAACAAGTTGTGTGAACTGAGCAAAATGACTGTGAGAGGAGTCATGATCTCGACAGCACTGTGCAACATGACAGGTACTAAAGAATTTGAATAGACAACACACAAATAGATATAACACACCTGAGAAGGGAGGCCAAAGCCAGCCTCCGAAGGGAGATATGAATTAGTCAGTGGGGGTGAGTGCGAGAGCGCAGGGGAAGCGTTGGGAGGCATAAGGCAGGGCCGACATGATAGGCCGGGTGCTTTTGTTCTTGTGGATGAAGGGGCGTTTGGAAGAGAGAAAGGGGCACCTCGACGTCAGTTGGAGCCAAGATCAAATGAGCGTGTCACATCGGGCAAAGAGCCCCCCGGCTATGCCTATCCTCCACATGACCTCGCGCCCCATATGGGGCGCCCTTTTGCATATGGTTGACAGGCATCTTCATCATTAAAAAAGGGCACTCTTCCACATGAACTCCCACCCCCATATGTGCCCTTTTGCGCCCGGCGACTACGCCGCTTCACCATTGAAAAGGGAACCCCCAAACAACACAAATTCTGTTCCCTCTCCTGCCCTCAACGGACCACATCATGTCTTGCAATCCCTTCCCCACAGCATTCTGTCGCCTCTCCTGCGCTCAAGACAGCAGTGTGTTGAGAGACGTGCACCTCCCTTTCACCCCTAGTTGACGACAATCAAATAGAGACTTTTAGCGTCCCTTTGTCCCCCCTTTCCTATCATCGACATCAACTCCCAATCCTAGTAGAAGACGGCTTACATTGCCTCCTGAGCCCCTCATGATGCTAATGATGCAGTCTTCACCGTCAGTTACATCACTTGCATCGCAACACCCCAGCAACCAAACAGTTTCAATCCCATTCTGCCCGCCGCTTATTTCCCAGGCTCTGGGCTCGCCCTCCCAAAATTGTACTCTGTGCGACCACCCCTCCCACACCCCAGCCTAGCCTATCGGCTGGCTTTCGTGATAAAAAACAAGATTTGAACCAAGTGACTCGTGGAAGGAGGAGGGCACCGTGAAGAAAACCACATCGCAGTTTTTCACCGCCGAGGGATCTTTGGTAATGAGATCGGGGATGCTTCGAACACTTTTGTTCGTTCCTGCAAGTGATTCTCAAGTGAAAAACAAAGAACATATAAAAACAAAAAAGAGCGACAAAAACCCAATGCAAAGCATTAGGAAAGGAAAGTCAAAAAGGATCAATCCAAGAATGCGCAGTAACTATGGGAAGTTTTGCTGAAAACATGCCGTCGGAGCGTCCTTGGAAATTACAAGTCATTCCGCCCGCATCTTTCATGGCCTTGTCCCAGCGCTCAGCTTCATCCTGCGCATTTTGTTGGAGGCCATCGCTAGAAGGGTGGAGGCCTCGCTATTAGGTTAGAAGGCAATGGCAATCGCTAGTAGAGTGAAGGCCATTGCTATTAGGTTGGAGGCCATTGCCTCTAGAAATGACCTAAAACCAAATTTTGTCGACTTCCCCCACAAGTTCCTCCCTCTCTGCAACCAAGCATCTGAGTACAACGAGATTGCGGTGACCTTGTAGCGGGAACCGAAAAGGCACGACACCACTTGAGCGGCGTTGCCCCCGCCACACCTCAGCGTCGCTACAAGGGATTCATTTGTTCACAAGCAAAGAACCTGGGGGATGGATGGTGATGGTATGATTGATTGGATTAGTAAAAATCTTATGTCCTAAATCCTGTGTCCTATTTCATTTTTGAACATTTCTCAATCGCAGAGGGTAGTACACAGTTGGTCTCCATCCGGTGCTGTTGCGACTTCCACCTTGGAACTTTGATGAGCGGCGCTGAGGTGTGATCGGCCCGGTCGGCTCCCACAACGGGGCGATGGAAGGCTGACTGATCAAATTTGATATTTGATGTTTGATTGTGGGAAGATGTAAGTTCAGCAGAGGAACGCATTGTGTGTTCAGCGCAGGTGGTTCTTTGTGCAATACAAAGCAACCGGTGCGTGCTCAGCAAAGCCCTTTCACCTGCATGTCTCCGTTGGGGAGTATTCCATCTACTATGTAATTGCAATGGCCTCCAACTTAGTAGCGAGTTTACCTTCTACGCAACATAAAACATGTTCTACGATGTTCTAACGCCACAAACAGTTGCGTGTACCTAGCAAGACGTCGTTGCTTTCTGCCTTCTGCCTATGATTCCTTCTTATCGACGCATTTAGGAACAGTACGGCAGACATTCGTAAGATTTCGTACCTAGCGGGAACACGTTTGTTTTGATGTGCTTCTCTTTCTCCCTAGCTCCTGGACGCCGGTTCCTGCTCCGTTCTTGCTTCTGAATTTAGCAAATGGATTTGGCTTCGGTTTGAGAGCTCTAGCAACACATAGTTGGAGTATTGAACAAGTCCAAGTCAATTGAGCTGCTCTTTTTGGTTGCAAAGCTGGTTTCATGATTGTTTTCTTCTCTACGCCATCGTTGTGGGCACAGCGTGACACGGCAGGTTGGCGCAGCGATGTGCATTCTGCAAATCCAACGGCTGGAGGAAAGATACCAAAAATAGAAAAACTCACTTAGCCTAAAAGCCATGACGTCCACCCATATAGCGATGGCCGCCAACATATAGTACCAATGGCCTCCAACCTCCTGGCAATGGCCTCCAACCTCGTGGCGATGGCATCCAACCTGCTAGCGATGGCCTCCGATGGCCTCGAACGTAATAGCGTTGGCCTCCAACCTAGTAGCGATGGCCTTCAACTTAGTAGCACTGGCGATGGCCTTCCAACCTAATAGCGATAGACTCCAACCTATTAGCGACGGCCTGGCTTCCAACCTAAAGTTGATGGCCTCTTGCCTACTAGCAATGGCCCCTCCAACCTACTAGTGATGGCCTCCAACCTGGTAGCAATGGCCTCCAGCCTATTAGCGATGGCCTCCAACCTTTTAGCAATGACCTCCAACCTAATAGCCATGGCCTCCAGCCTAATAGCTATGGCCTCCAACCGAATAGCAATGGCCTCCAACCTACCAGCGATGGCCTCCAACCTAATGCGAACAACCTAGTAGCAATGGCCTCCAAAGTAATGAGCCCCTTTGTTCCCACCAACCCTCGATTCGCACCGGGTCCCACTGTCTGCCGCGGCACACCATCACTGATGCCATGGAGGAAGCTGCTGAAGCTGAAACTGAAACAGCTTTTTGGAGCAGCTAGGAGCGGTGCAAATGGCTGCAGTAAAGTCATCAATAAAACACATGCAGCATATGCAAACTCCTTTCGTTTCATTTTTCGTTTCACAAATTCAACGTTTCCTTTCACAGCTCATTCATCGTGTTACTTTTTTGTCAACTTCAGTCACGTGCCACGGAAGCCATGAACGCCTCACAAACGAGAGGCATCTGTCTGATCACATCGCACGTCTGACACGAAAAGAATGGCAAGAGACCCCAAACGAGGTTTTGAAGTGCAGAAAGTCTAGAGACGTAGACGCGCTGGGTCCAGAGAGGTCATGATGAAGGTGGAGGTCGTGGTGGGTGAGTGAGTGCGTGCGGCGCCGTGCCGCGCGGTGCCGTGGTGCGGCGTGCGTGGCGCGGCGTGGCGTGCCGTGGCGCGGCGTGCGTCCGTGCGTGTGAGTGAGAGAGAGTGAGAGGAGAGAGAGAGAGAGTGAGAGAGTGAGTGAGTGCAATTGTTCTTGTAAGATTCCGCCAGTTTCTGGGAGGGCACTATAGCTTGCGCAGACGAGGTAAAAGGACGCTATCCCTTTCCTCAACCATCGCAAACATAATTCCTCCGTCTCCGGTACTAACGTCCGAGGTCGGAAGCGTGGGTGGGTGTGAGTGAGAGTGACTGCCACGAAATCTGCACCTCGAGGCTCACAAAGTACTGCGCCTGCCACGAATTTTGCAAACGAGCCACGTGACCACAAGTCACGATTCACTGCGCCTGTCACCAAATCAGAGCGCCTCGATCAGCAAACTAAAGATGACCCTCGAGATGGGCACCCTTTGAGGGCACCCTGGCTAAACTTTTCTTCTTCCTTTTTGAAATTGTTTTAAATTTCAAATTGTCACAAATAAGATGAACGGTGCTAGGAAATGATTCAACGAGTTAAATATGATCAGAAATAGTTTTGTTCAAAATTTCACACCAAGAAAAGGTATGAGTGAACCAAAAGTGTTTTCACGAGTAAGTCCACGAGTCGAGCCACGAGTGAACTTGCAAGCAAAATGAAACAACCTTTCCTGTTGCGATAAGTTGACGAGTCGAGCGACAAATGAACTTACAAACGCAATGAATCAAGTACTAAGTACAAACGGTTCCTTTACGATAATCGACGAGTCGAGGAGCACTGTGCTGTCAGGAATTATAACAAGTAAGGTTTTGAAACTACTCAAGTTTTGGGTGAAGAGCTCTGTGGTGGGAGGGATTGTGAGAAGTAAGGTCTTTGAAACTAGTCAAGTCTTGCTGAAGACATCGAGTAAATTTTGGAAAGTAGTCAAGGGATTGTATGATTTTTGAATAGCAAATAGTCAGTTTTTTGCTGAAGAGCACGGTGCTGACTGGCATCGTAACAAGAAAGTTTTTTGAAACTAATCAAGTTTTGGCTGCAGAGCGCTGTGCTGGCAGGGATTGTGACAAGTAATGTTTTTGAAACTAGTGAGGTCTTGGCTGAAGAGCGCCGTGCAAGTAATGTTCTTGCAGCCGAAAATCCATTCCAAGGCTAACTGCAGTCCAGAAGGCTTTCTCAAATCGTGATGTTGCTCGCTGTGCAGGATATCCATGGCCATCCCAGACCACGCATTTTTGATGCATTCCCGGTAAAGGTCGCCCTTGCCTGCTGCAAAGTACTCCACAAACTCAAACTGGGATTCACGCGCTATCTTTGAGAGTCAGGAAGACAGCCAGAGGCTTGTTTAGTGGATTCTTTGTTTTTATGATTTTTTAATGAAAATTTTATGAAAACTAATTGGTCCTCAGTTTTTGGAGATTTCATTTTTGGATTTTTTTAACGATATTTTGTGTTTTTTATGTTTTTTTGTGACTTTTTTTTTATGGATTTCCACCAAATCAGAAATTCGACAAAATTTATCAAAAAATCATAAAATTTTAACAAAAAATTCATAAATGTTTCCTAAAAATTTATCTTTTATGATTTTTTACGATTTGTCGAGAATCATGAAAAATCATGTAAACAAATACCGTAAATTTTATGAACATTTTATGAAATCTTTTTTGAAAATTTTTATGTTTTTTAAGTTTTTAAAGAAAACTTTAAGATTTGTTGGGCACATCAAGAAACTACAAGATAGTTTCGTAAAACGTAAAAAAGCAAAACGCTTTTTGTTCATAAATGCGTTTCGTAAAATTTTCATAAATAAATCATTAAACAATAGTTTGAAAACCATATTCCCTAGCCTCTCCCCAACTCACAACGCTATCTCTGCACGGGTCTTCCAACAGCACAGCGCCAAGGCTGTGAGCATGTCAACCAAGCACCAGCCCTGCTTCAGCACTGGACACCAGCGTAATGTTGCCAAAGAGTTGAGCTCAAGTAAGGTCTTGAAGAATACATTGAAGGTCAGTCATGCAATCGGGCTCTCCCCAATTGAGATTACCAGTTTCTTTGCCACGGAGACCTTCAGCCATAATTGCAGCAAATGATTTCTTACTTGGCAAACGCTCTTTTCGTGAGTTCTTTTCAGCAGAAAAACGACACGTTACTACTGTAGCGTAACCAAATTAATTTGCCAGCGTTGACGACTTCGAACTTCCTATTTCATTGCAGGGTTTGAATCCCTTGAGAAGAGTGTTTTCTTTCAACTTCCCACGCTTCTTTGGCGCAAGTCCAAGGTCGAGGGTGTATAGACCTTTTGGCGCCAGAATCGAGGTTGTTTTTTGCACCAAAAGGTCGCGGTCAGGAAAAGTTTGACAAACAGATGAGTTCCCAACAAGCAAACCCACTTCCTCATTCTCACAAGAGCCTTGCCTTGTGTCACACTCATATTCACACACGAAACCCAAGCACACTGTTCATTGTTCAAGTCAAATACCATCATCATACACGTTTTCTATTCGCGAAAACACATATATGCATGACTCTTGCGCGCGCGAAACGCGCCGAACAAAAACAACTCCATCACAGGTGCTTATTTACTATTTTGATGCATACTTTAATCATTACTATTCCTCTTGCACGCGAAGCGCGGAGTAAATTTCCTTTAAGGCGCCTCTTGAGACCAGAGGCAGCGCTGGGCCACCCAGCAGGGCTGTCTTGGTGTCACGGTGGTGTCACCTAGGTGTTTTTTAGTTCCAAAACAGCTCAAATCAGTTTGACATCTTTTTAAATCTTATTTGTGCACTTTTTTGGCACAAAAAAGAATAAAGTTGATGTGCCCTCAGATTTCAACATCAATAAGATTTGAATTGCACTGAAGTGCAAACAAGCGGCGCAAAAGTGCAAAGAGGTGCATACAAGTGACACAAAAGTGCAACAAAGTGACACAAACGTGCAAAAAAGTGTAACTCCCGCTCCGGAAAAACTAAATATAATTCAGTGAAAGAGCAACAATACAACAAAGAGCGCAACAAAGTGACTCAATTAAATGAACTGAACTGAAACCCTCCAATTGCCACACTGACAAGCAAGCGTGTAGAATAAAGGTTTTTGGGGTCCAACGATGCTCAAAAATCAAAAAACTGCTCACATTTATAAAACACACTGATCTCCAAGGCTAAGGGAAACCCTGTTGGTTGATTCAAAAAACCAATCAAGCATCACACTGAATCACCATCCAGCGTCGCACATTTTTCCAAAGATGACATGTCATGTCACTCACCCCAGAACCAATTGGCTGGCTGTAATCTTTCATCATGCATGTACTTTTCACACATAATAACCCATCTCATAAGACGAAATTCACTGATCAAATCTTTCAAGGGTGTGGCTGGTCTACAACGGAACCATGATGGCCCTGATTGACTGGTGACACCTGTAAGGGCAGCCCTCGCCTGGCGTTTTGCCTGCAACCTCCACGTACCCCCTCGCGCAGTCCGAGTGCACCATGTGGCCACATGACAGGGCTCTAAGCTCTTGCTGGCTTTCCACCATCTCATTATGACAGATCATGCACGGTTGCGCAAGGCACTCTCCAGGCGCATCGGCATTTTGCCCTTCAGCAGAAACTGTGTCAGCAACAGCGGCACGTTGCCCATCAGCAACAGCGTTGCCCCCATCACCAACAGCTGCGGCGCGGGGCCCATCAACATCGTGACATTCGCATCAACAACCGTGGCACTGTGCCCTTCAGCAATAACACCAGCGCTGCTCCCGTCATTAGGCCATTATTGAGCGTTGGTGGTCTTCCTCGGGTTTTTCCCCGGGGTTGCAGGCAAGCCATCACCCAGTCATCTGACCAGCCCGCTTCAATAGCAAATGAATTGATCTCCAAATCTTCGGTCTCATGAAATCTTATTTGCGCAGCGCCCTTCAGCAACAGCAACTAAGAATGCAAATTGTGACAGTCAGTCAGCTTGCATTGAGTTCTTGTGACTACCATGTCAAGTGACTCATGAATGAATGAACATCAGTCAGTGAAGCCAAAGGTTTAGTTGGATAAAAAAGCACATGTTGAAAACAAAACTACTCTCAAAACAAAGTATCAATAGTAACACACTCTCAAATCCGAAAAACAAACTCATAGCAAACTGAGGATGACAATGAAATGCTGACTCAATGTTTGCTTGTCGAGCTTTTATTGAACCTCACGTTCAGATACAAAGGTGACAAATACATTTTTTACATTTTCAATCATACCAAATCATCTTTTTGCACTTTCAAAAAGCAGAAAAGCGCACAAAGACGATTAAAACAGCTTCACATAAGATGAAAGACAAGCTTCAAATAAGACTTGATGTGCTTCAATGTGATTTTAGTTTTCCTGTGAACCGGGGTGCCCTGGAGAAGGGTGCCCATCTACAGGGTCATCTTTAGTTTGGGGACTCCAAAAACACCACCGTGTCTAAAGTGCTGCAACTGCCAGGAAATCTGCGCGTCGAAGTAACACCGCTCCGATCCCTTGCGCCTGTCACGAAAAGTCGACTTTGGACCGCCAAAACACGCGGTTTCCCTTATGCCTGCCACGAAAAGTGACCACCGTGTTCGAAAATGCATGCGGCGCCGCAACAAGAGCGCAGTCGCGACAAGCACCCGCTCCAGCCACCCAGATTTTGCAAGCCTGCGCAGCCGAAATACACTTGGAGGATTTCGAGAGGCATGAATGTACTGTAAATAGCAGCGAATTCGCGACACCTTGATTAGACACCGGTGCTTAACTATTCTGTAAGAGCCCCTAGTGTGTCCACACTGTTTGGGGAAAAATCATGATTGGTTTCGTCCGAGCAAATCGCGCTCGATTCGCGCCTTTTCAAATCGTTGGCATTCGCCGCCTGGCGTCGCGCAGCCACGGGCTATGTCGGTTACCGGCGTTCTTGCGGAAGTGTGACCATGCGAGCAAAAAAAAGCAAAAAAAAGAGAATCGAGAAAGTGTAAGCGAAAAACACAATTTCTTCTGGAAAACGAGTCGTGACAGTCGAAACCGTGGCCTTTCTCTGCCGCGGCCTGGAACGGTCTCGTCCGGACGCGCCGTCGGTCTCGAGATGGTGAGACGAAAGCCGTAAGGGCAATGACCCCCAATTTGATAGCAAACTATTGCAATAATGAGCTTTTACCCTTTTCTTTTCTCTTTGTTTCCTAGCAATGGCCTTGTGACCTGGTGACTTCTTTATAAGGCAAATTAAATTCTACCAGTTTAGACACCAAACAGCTTAGTCGGCAAGAATTGTTGTTGTGGTGGGCGGCCACAGCCGGAAAGCCGCGTAAACAGCGCGACTGCAGCAGGACAGCAGAAAGACCAGAGAAGGGCAACAGAGGACAACAGGGTGAGGGAACAAAAGAAGGACAAGCTGTGACGGGACAACGCCAAAAGCACAGGACAACAAGACGGCAGGACCGAAGAAGAGGACATCTGGACAGGGCCCGCCACCTCGGGCCACAGAAGCCACAAGAAGAACAGTAAAGCGCTCTGGGAAAACAATTGCCCAGATAGCGAAGCTATGGGGTTCTTACTTCAAATAACAATGAATTGCCCGCGCTGGCGCTGGTGCTGTAAGCTGGCTGTGCACGCGGTGGAGACAGGTTGCTGGTGCTGTTGGTGGTGCTGGTGCCGGGTGCCGCCGCCGGTGCTGGTGCTGTGAGCTGGCTGTGCTGGTGCTGGTGCCGGGCGCCGGTGCTGGTGCTGGGTGCCGGCGCCGGTGCTGGGGCACCTGGCTGCGCGCGTGGTGGAGACAGGTTGCTGGTGCCGGTGCTGGTGCTGGTCGTCTAGCTTGCATATGTGAGGGGGTCTATTTGCGGATCTTTTTCTCAGATATGGCGTTCAAGTTCTTACTTCAAATAACAATGAGCAGGTTGCCGGTGCTGGCGCTGGTGCGGTAAGCTGGCGGTGCACGTGGTGGAGACAGGGTGTGGGGGTGCTGTGAGCTGGCTGTGCACGTGGTGGAGACGATCGCGGGCGCTGGCTGGGTGCTGGGTATACCGGCGCTGGGCGCTGGTGCTGGGCACCGTGAGCTGGCGTGCCGGTGCTCGGTGCTGGTGCCCGCTTCTGACTGTGAAGTGGTGACAACCGCCGCTTCTGACAGTGAAGGGTAACAAACCGCCGCTTGCAGCAGTGAAGGGCGACCAAGCGGCGCTTCTGACAATGAAGCGCCAACAGTCATGGGCCGCATGAACTTATGCGCGCAACATCATACGGTGTTGTCGCTTGAGCGTTCTTTGTCTTATTAGCGCTGTGGGGTATGTATGTACACTCTTCAGGTTCTGTTTTGGCCGACAGCTCTGTCAAGGGCCGTACTGCTTGCGCGCATACTTTTGCACGTTTGATGTTCTATGCGCAACGTCATGCTCTCAGCCGACCATTGTTTCAGCATGCTACACACACAGTAGTCGTGCTGGATACTGCTTGGCCTTGGGCGAGTGAAGCCTACGGGCTTTGCCGTTTGCGCGCATACTTTTGCGCGCATAATCCTATACGAGCAAGATCATACGGCCTTATCGTTCTGCAGATCGTTGCTTCAAGCATGCTACAAAGTCAATAGTGGCGCTGGATACTGCTTGGCCTTAGGCCAATGACACTTGCGGACTTTGCTGTTTGCGCGCATACTTTTGTGCGCATAAACTTATACGTGCAAGATCATACGTTGTTATTTCCCAAATCGGGATAGCTATGGGGTTCTTGCTGCAAATAAGAATGAGCTGGCTGCGCGCGCTTTCGAATGGGTGTTGGCGCTGGTGCTGGTGTTGTGGTCCTGGGCGCTGGTGCTGTGAGCTGGCTGAGCGCGCGTTTAAGACGGGCGGCGGCGCTGGTCGGGTGCTTGCGCCGCTGCGGGTGTAGCTGATTGTGCGCGCTGTGGAGGTGCCGTAAGCTGGCTGTGCAGGCTGCGTGCATTCTTGTTCCTGCTAGTTGCGCGTCAACTGGTCGTGGGATTCTACCTAGCTATCTGGGTCTATGCTGGTCTAATCTTTGTTGTTCACCAGATAGCAAGCGGGGATCTCACTTCAAGCATAGGAGGAGGTGACTGTGCGTGCTTTGGAGGCTGGGCGCTGGTGCTGCTGCAGCCGCAGCAGGGCGCTGCTGCGAGATGTTGACGACAGTGCGCGTTTTGGAGAGATGCGTATGGCCGCGTGCGCTTTGGAGCCTCCATGGTGGTGGGTGCCGCCCCAGGGGGCTCCTGCCACATGTTTATGGCAGTGTGCACTTTGGAGCCTGCATGCTCGTGTCGCTGCTATGGTGCGCACAAATATCTTTTTCTATTGTCTAATTCTTCTTTGTTCCTTTAGGCATCCCCTTCTCTGTTGCATTATCCCCCGGATAGCGAGAGCTATTGGGGTTCGTAATTCACGTTTATAGAGCAAGAGGTGCTTGTCTGCTCCAAATGCCACCACAAACTGCCACTAACCAATTGCCACCCACCAATTGCTACCAACCAATTGCCACCAACCAATTGTCAGTACTTGGTGTTCTCCAAGTGGTCGGATGTACGCGCTGGTGTCGCTGGGTCGCGGCAGCTCAACCACCAATTGTCCGCTCTTGTGTCTGGTGAAGTTGTTAACATGTGGGGTTATCCGGCCCTACCATTCTTTTCTCTGAACGATGATCTCGCAACATGTGAACAGAACGTGGCGAAACTTGCGCGCTGAACTTGATTGGCTCTGATGGTCCCAAGAATCGTGTAGCTAAGGGCGCTAAGAGGCTGCCAAGAGTCTGCTAAGAGGCTGCCAAGCGGCTGCCAACAGGCTGCTCGGCTACTAAGAGGCTGCTATTAGGCTGCTAAGAGGTTGCCAAGAGGCTGCTAAGGCTTTCTTGTTAAAACACTTTGACATTCTGGAGGCCTTAGGAACACCTTTAAGGCCTTTGGAATGTGATGGCTTCTCAAAAGCACTGCTGGGTCAGTGAAGAAAAGATCAATTATGCGGCAAACATGACTGAACACAATATAAGCTATACAAGACAAACATAAAACCGTGTTTTCCGTGACGTCTGTGTAAATAAATCTAAATGCGCCTCCTTTGTCGTTTGCTGTAAAGCTTCCGCCAACTCGCGCAGGGCACGGGCACCTTCAGAAAGACGACTTTGACCGAAACGGCACGAAGGTCGGACGACCCCTTTGGAGTCGGAAGAGATCGTCGCCACCCCGGCGCTACTAGGAACACATTGGCGTCGCTACTAGCAACAACAACGCTCGTAGGGGCTCCTGGCCTTACTTCTAGGAGCAAGGATGCTCCTAGGGGCTCCTGGCCTTACTACTAGGAGCAAGGACGCTCCTAGGGGCTCCTGGCCTTACTACTAGGAGCAAGGACGCTCCTAGGGGCTCCTGGCCTTACTAGTAGGAGCAAGGACGCTTCTAGGGGCTCCTGGCCTTACTACTAGGAGAAAGGACGCTCCTAGCTGTTGGCTTTACTACTAGGAGCAAGGACGCTCCTAGGGGCTCCTGGCCTTACTACTAGGAGCAAGGACGCTCCTAGGGGCTTCTGGCTTTACTACTAGGCGCACGGACGCTCCTAGGGGCTGCTAGCCTTACTACTAGGAGCGAGGACGCTACTGGAACACAGGGTATCGCAACTACGAACAAGAACGCTCCTAGGGGCTCCTGGCCTTACTACTAGGAGCGAGGACGCTACTGGAACACAGGGTATCGCAACCAGGAACAAAGGGCATCGCAAATACGAACAAGAACGCTACTAGGGGCTCCTGGCCTTACTACTAGGAGCGAGGACGCTACTGGAACACAGGGTATCGCAACTACGAACAAAAGGCATCGCAAATACGAACAAGAACGCTACTAGGGGCTCCTGGCCTTACTACTAGGAGCAAGGACGCTACTGGAACACAGGGTATCGCAACTAGGAATAAAGGGCATCGCAAATACGAACAAGAACCCTACTAGGGGCTCCTGGCCTTACTATACTAGGAGCGAGGACGCGACTGGAACACAGGGTATCGCAACTAGGAACAAAAGGCATCGCAAATACGAACAAGAACGCTACTAGGGGCTCCTGGCCTTACTACTAGGAGCAAGGACGCTACTGGAACACAGGGTATCGCAACTAGGAACAAAGGGCATCGTAAATACGAACAAGAACGCTACTAGGGGCCCCTGGCCTTGCTACTAGGAGCGAGGACGCTACTGGAACAAAGGGTATCGCGGCTAGGAACCAGAACGCTACTAGGGGCTCCTGGCCTTAGTACTAGGAGCAAGGATGCTACTGGAACAAAGGGTATCGCTGCTGCTAGGAACCAGAACGCTACTAGGGGCTCCTGGCCTTACTGAGCAAGGACGCTACTAGGAACAAAGGGCATCGCTACTAGGAACAAGAACGCTGCTAGAGGCCAGGGTAGCTCTACTCTGTGTACCAAACACACACGCTGTTTCTCTTGCTTGTTCTTGCTCATTCCTTCTCGTTCTTCTCCTTCGTCTCTTTTTCATTCGAATGCGGTTCTTTCTCACGCGTGGGCGTGTGGACGCGTAATGAAGCGCAAGCTGAGAGCAAGGGCGCTCGCAGCGTGCAGCCACGTCAATGCTGCCATCCCTGGACCACGCGCATTTCGAGCTTTTTCGAGCTTAAGCTATTAGTAACAAGTGCCACGCTAGTAGTAACAGGTGCCTTACTAGTAGATTCCTTGTCTAGCAATATTAATAGGAAATTCTATTATTTGTATTATTAAATCTAATTGTTTCTACTAGCTTCTTGTTACTAGTAGTATGGCACCTGTTGCTACTAGCGTGGCACTTGTTACTGAAATTTTCGAAACTGCACCGCCCACGAAGCCTCAAGACGCGCTCGAGGACCTGGCATCAGCAGGTACGAAACGGCAAACAACACCTTGAGAGGCAAAAGGTATATAATTATGGTCTTTGGACGCGAAAGGGAATTCTGGACGTATACTTTATGGTACGGTACAAACGCTGAAAGTGTTGGCAAAAGTGATACATTGGAAAAGATTTGGCGCGGAAATGGCACCTGCAGTCGGACCGTTCATGCTCGACGGCTCATGACAGCGCATGAGGCTTGCGCGGAGACTAAATGTAGTGACAGTGTTGGACACGACAACAGTGTGATGGTACTCTACTCACAGGTGTGACTTTACTCACGGGTGTGATGGTAGGCTCCGGTAGAGACCATCGGTGTCAGCGTAGTGCATCATCGGTTGGTCGGCCACCATCAACTTCTGAAAATGGCTCGAAAATGATGCAAACATGTTAGACACATAAAGCTGTCATAACTTAACTTCAATAACTTCTTTCTCAGCTACCAGTTACAAGGTGTCTTGCTATTAGTAACAAGGGCATTACTACTAGTAGCAAGAAGCTATTGGTAACCAGTGTGGAACAGGTGCGCTACTAGCAAGAAACTACCTACAAAATGCTATTTCAAATTCTAAATTTTATTTTCTTCTCTTCTCATAACTCTAATAGAATTCTTTTTTCATTTTCTTCTCTTCTCATTCTACCGCTAACTCTCACTTTTCGACCGACCTTTGGGGCACGCTTCGCTTCGCCCCACCCGCCTTGTCGAGTGTGCTGGTGATGTCATGGGAGGACAAACTCCAAAAGGTTCTTAGCGACTCGCGTCACTCGAAAAAGCAAAAAGCATCTGCAAACATGCAATTTCCGTAACCATGTGTCCCGGTTATGTTCTGGTGTCCTTTTGTGCTTTGGATGGAATTCCGGAAGGTAGTTGGTTCCAAAGGGACCGTTGAACCACCGGTTTGAGGGCGGGCGTGCTTGGGAGAGCACACACTAGCTCAAAAATCTGGAGAAAACTCTCAACATTTCAAAAACTGCTCCGGGACCTAGGCCAAACGCATATTTTCCACCTTACTGTGCCCCAGTCTCGATGTGCAATGTCAACTACAACAATTGGATAAAGTTCATTCCAGATTGGAAAGGAGTTTAGGAAGTAAATGCAATGAATCTTTACTTAGAACAGGTTCCTGGAATTGAGATGAAAGAGACTTCTAAGAAAGGAACTTAACAAGGAAATGACATGAATCTTACTTAGATACTTAGAACAGGCAACAAAAATGTTTAGCTTTACTTAGGGTGCACTTTATTTGGGTATGGTGGCTTCATGAGGGGTAGCCTTTCCAGAGTCGTTTTGATCAAATTTCAAGTGCTTTTAAATAAGGGTTCTATAAAGAATTTTCAATGCAGGACTTGCGTTTAGTGACACTGTCGGAAGCACAGTGGCGCCAGTACTCGGCAAAAGCGGTTGTGCAAACACTGAAGTCTATGCAACCGTGTCAGAAAACAACAAACAAAAAACAGACACCGAAAAACCAAAAACCACTAAACCAAACAACAATAAAAACCAATGTTTGAGACAACATGGATGCAAAAACAAAAAACAAACAAACCCAACTCCTATAGTACCCTTCAAATATTGTTGTTTTTTCGCGGGGTGCTTCTTTTGTTTTTGTTTTTTGGTTTTGTAGTATCCCTCAAAACTGTTATAGGCCTGGTCCTCACAAAATTGATCTAACACTAGCTGAAAACTTAGGTTTTGGTGATGTTTTAACCAAAAATCACTAAACGCAATGTATCCCCTCTAAACTGTGATAGGCCTGGTTCACAAAATTAGTTTTAACATATCTCAAAACATAGGTTCTGGTGGTGTTTTAGCCAAAAAACACTGTAAAACACAGTGTTTTTTGCTATTGTTGCATGAAAAACATCTCCCAGGAGCACCCGTATTGCTTTTTCAAGGTACGGTCACACTTCGAAACCTCTCATCTGAAAAGATCCTTTGCATCCCAGATCGTCCCAGGTTTGAACGTTGCTATTGGGGTCTCCGGGGCTAAGTTCTTCAAGACAAACCCACATAAACAACGGAGTCGAAAACGAATCTTTGGTCGCCGAACCAGAGCTGACATTCGCAACATTCCTTCGTGCGCGGTGAACAGGAACAGCCAAACATCTCACGACATCGGCCCAAAACAACGGCTAGGCATGACTGTTAGTGGCCACTTCTCTACAGCTTGGTTGTTTCATGTTTCCCTCGTTGCGCCGCTTCTCACCGTTTTGAAACACGAATGCCAGGGAAAATATAAAAAGGAAAAACACCAAGAAATGACAGGCGTGTGTAGAACCTTCAGAACCTCCACTGAAACGACACCTCTTGAACGCAAGACTTTCTCCTCATTTGGAACCTTTTCCGGAACCGACGTTTTGGAATTTTGCAATGACACATTTTTTCATTTGTCTTGCGTTTTGTCGGAAAATTGACCCCTTTTCTTTTATACTCCATACTTCTATCTTGCCCCCACTGTATCGTTGTTCACCGTTGGTCATCGTTGGTCCAAAGCCCACCTTCGACAGGTCTTTGGCTTCTATGGCTCCCACTCCATGAAGGTTGGGAGGGCGCTGCTGATGGACACAGGCAGTTCCTGTGAAGCCAGTTGAGCAACAACGCGTCACCCAGAAAAGAAAGCAAAAGAGTGCAAAACCAAAAAGAACATGTTCAGTTATTTTTTGTCTAGCTGCGCAGATATCATGTGTTCAACTTATCTGAGCAACATGCGTGAGAGAAGTTGGGCATTTTGGGTGTGCAAAAGTGTGCAATCCATGAAGCCGAGCGTGAAGTTGGCACGTTGGGTTGCGGTGAACATTGGACATGCACGGTGTCAAGCAGGTGCGTTGCACCTTCTTTGTCAAACATTTTCTTGAGCTCGCGTCAAAGGTGCCATTGCGATCGTGTAGTGTAGAGGGGATCTGGTACCATGATGTACGGTGTCACTTTTATGGCGTATATCAAATCCAGCCCCTGGTGATCCGTTGGTCCAAGGCGATGAGAGTCATCACAGCCGCCATCTCCGCAAGCACTCGGACAACCGCTTTTCACGGCCTTAGCAAGATGTCTCGAAAAGAGGGGTCCGCGCTGAACGAAAGAGCGAGCTGTTGCGAATCTACACAGCGCTCGCGCCCACAGGACCGTATAGAACCGTCAAGCCTTTCGCCTAGTCCGCAAAGCGGTCCCTGGAAGCAGCAATCGCCGCAAGGGTAGGTTCGAAAAGTTCTGAGACAAGAAGAACTCTTACGAGAGGTTGGCAAGGAAAGAGACGGCTGCAACGTAGTGTTCCGGTATTGAAGTCCAAGGCATCTCTCGTCATGTCTGCCCCCTTCCGATACTTCTCAATAGCTCCTCCAAGGCAAGGAGATGCAAGACGAAATCAAACTTCACGAAGCAGCCGCTCAAGCTCTGGCGACCTTAGTTGAGAAACCCGGTAGCCTGTCGGAGGGAAGAGAAAGGTCAGTCTCCGACGCCCTCAACACTTCTCCAGGGCTAGTGTTTCCAAAGAACGAAATCAGCAAGGCAGCAAACGGGTCCACTCCCAATGCAGTGAAACCGCCGCGGCTCGAAGGAGAGGGGTTCTTCCTGCCACTTCACGGGGTGAGGAAAGGTACCGAAAGCTTGTTCGACAACTAAGACCACGAAGCGGCGCAGAACATAAACAGATTTCCCCTCTGTGTAGAGGTGTCCACCCTGTTTGGCCAAGAGGCTCAAAGTCAAGTGCCCCGTGTTCCAAGTTTTATTGAAAGAGCTTGACCCTATCCACATGGTGGGCCAGAGCCACTTTCAGACGTCGACAGCCGCGGAGACGCGCTCTGCAACAAAAGTCCGGCGGTCGGACTTTTCTAGGTAAGCCATCTGGGCAAGAGAAACAGAAAACTTCTATCCAGTCTGAATCCATAGCATGACGCCGAGCAGCAGACCTGCTCGCTGCAGCTCACCTTCAGCCTTCACGCTATCTCTCACGTCGCCCAATGTCGCGCGAGCCCGCCCCAGCTCTTCGACGCGAAGGCCAAGTCGCGAAACCTTACTCCCGTTGGGCGAAAGATTCAGCCTGCCTTCGCCCCTGAAAACAATCCAACAAGCCGTAAAAACAAGGGTAGTCTTTCCCGCAGAAGAACTTATCAAGGCTCTTCGGTCTTGTTGAAAATACGCAAGAATGAAAGCTCCATCTACCTCACCAAACATCCCAGCAATCAAACAGAGGCGCTATCAGGCACTGCTTCAACGAAAGTGGCCGACGAGGCCCCACAAGCGGCGACAACGTTGGAAAGGAAAGGGCCCAAAAGGATTTTCTCTTGCTGCTAAAAGCATAAGTGGGGGAAGTCGGAGAAAGGGTTTTCGAGTATGGTCATCTGATACATAGTTCCAGAGAACAACGAGAAGACTTTTCCAAATCCTTGTTCACGACAATGAAGATCGTCCCTTCGTGAGGCACCCCTGGCCGTCAAGCGCGCCTCACACAACTTCGGCCCTGAGGATACGACGAGGTCTTGGGCTTCTCCGCTTACATTGTAATTCACATATCTCAAACTCTGGCAGGAGAAGTCCTTGAGCCCACTGCGAAGCCTTGCCGGGGGTTTGTTCCTGTGCTTCCTCAGACAATGCTCAAAATTGCTCAAAAGTTCTCCACGCCGACATCCGTTCCCAATTGGAAGCATCCGTAGCGGCCTCGGGTCTTTGCTCTGAGGCCAGCGCGAGCAAAAGGAATCAGCGTTCAATAGCGACCAATCGAAGCGCCGCTCAATTTGAAGATGGCCTTCTTGGCGGAAGTTTGCAGGCTGGAGACGCGGGGCCTGAATCCATGCAACCTGCCGTTTTTGGAGAACGATCTGCCGAGTGTGGCGTTCAGTACTTCAAAATAGGCAACTTCAGGACTTTTTCTATGACTTTCTCTTCTTCCCTCACCCCTTTGCCACCAAGTCTCTTGCAGCTTCACGATAGCTGTCCAATACCTTGATGTGATGAAGGAAGAGGTCCAGCCATCGAGTGTCCGAAAGCACACTATGGTGGCGCTTGTGAAGACGCGGCCAAAGGGCTGTTGCCTTCTTCAAGCTTTGTTGAAGCGGACCAAAGTAGAAAAAACCTCTAGGTGATCGCCTTTCTTCCTGAACGGATCCGTTCTGTCAAATGATGTGAATTAGATTGCCATCTTCCACGTCAACTGGCGCGGTTGGCCCAGGGAGTATAGATCCGAATCTCTCCAAGACCGTCCTCCAGCTTGGACAACCGCCCAGACACATCTTCCTTGTTTGGTCGAGCCAAGTGCGGGGTTGTGCGCAGTTCCGGGCCCTGCACCGAGAAATGAGAAATTGAATGGAGAGGTACCCCTCTTTGAGTGTAGGCCCAAAGAAGAGGTAGTCCAGATATTCTTCGTCTTCAACTTCCACCTGATCTCACTTCTTGGGGAAGGACGCCAACCCACACCCTCAACTGAAATAGCTGTTCTGGCTCCTCTCGAGCGCTGAAGCAGAACATAGAATGGGACCGGGGGCCGCGCAAAAGGTACCGCCTCCTGCTCTAGAAGAGGGTGCGCCGTGAGCAAGCAAAACCTTGTCAACTGCGTAGTGAAGCTCCGTGTGTCCACCGAAGTGAACAAGCGCGAAAGTCTTCTTGTCTTGCTCACTGCCCCCCGGCCGAACAACCCGACATGCGGGCCGTCGTCCGGCCCTCTGAGAAAGCCGCCAAGAATTGGCTTCACCTCACGCAGCGAGCAGGCCAACAGAGACAGTCTCCAAACTCTTTGCCCAACCAGCGACTCTTGGCCGGATGAATGTTCGTCATGTCTCTCTGTGGAAGTCTAGTCAACTTGATACGACCCCCACTGGGCTGTCCGGCCTGCCTCGCAATCTCACCCTTTCAGCACACCTTCAAGACCGGCCGGATTCGCCAGTTGATGGCAGAGACAGATGTTGCGGGCTGAAGGACTAGAACCTCAAGCCTAGATGAAACAAAAGAAAAATGCTAGGACGTAGTCACGTAGTCCAAGCAAGAGTCCAGCCACCTGCAAAGGACAAGAGGCTCACAAGAAGTTGTAGGGCAAGCAAAGGGCGCCACCATTGCGAGCTGCGCCTACTTTCAGCCTGTCTGGCATGAAGGCTTGAGGCCACGAAGAAGCTGCGGCCGGTTAGAAGTGATGAGAGCCCTTTTAGGATCTATGCCACCCAACAACTTCTGACCATGTGACACGGTGATCAACGTAACAGCTTCTCACATCCCGCTCCCTCCTCGATTTCGTCAGCTTTATGTCTCTCTTGCTCAGCTGGCGCTTTGCTTTCCTCCTCCTTCTCTGCCCTGCTTTCCTGCTTCTGCTCTGCCTTCTCCGCCTTCTCCTTCTCATCGGCCTCTTGAACGATCCTGAAGACGAAGTCAAAAACCTCTCGAAGTAGGTTGGTCACGAGTCACGAGAGCCTCCGAAGCTTCCAAAAGGAGTGCAAGGCCAACTTCGCGGTGTGCGCTTGCTGCGAAGCCTGGAAAGTAAAGCAACGTCAAACGATGTTTCGGCGAAGTCAACTTCAGATTTCGAATCGACTCCTCGAAGAACATGATTCGATTCGAATGAAGACAAGTGAAGAAAAATACCTTTCCCCATTGGCCCATTTTCGTTCATTTTAAAAAGAACCCCCGCATCAGTTCTATTGCTTGTTCTGCTTCCCTGCCAGTTCCTCGCAGTTGACTGTTTTCACGAGTGATGTTTAACGTTTGAATTTGGATGTATCGAATGTAGAGAATGTTCATTAGTTCTTTCACTCAATTCGTCTCTTACATCTGAAACTTACAAACATTTTTGATGTGCTAAACAACTATTAATATTCATATCTCTACTTAGCTGGGTGAATTGTACTCATTCGTGGGTCCCAGGGCTGATTTAGGGAATGATATGATTGACGTCGTGTCGGCACCCAACCAGCACACGCACCCCGGGTTGCTTGCGCTTGCCAGCAAGGAGTCGAAACTGACAAACTTGAGTCGACACATGGGCAGAGCGGCCAAGTTTAGGGCCGACACGTTTTCCAATTACCCAAGCACCCTTGAAAAAGACCCCAGGCAGAGCCAATCATATTTCATCGAAATAGGCCCGTTTTGGTGTCAGAGGCCACCAGAGGTCAAATACAGGCAACGATGACTGGATGGCATCACCAAAGACAGCTGGGACAGTTTCTTGCTCAGCTCGGTGCCGCCGCTGCTTGCTTGAGGTCGGTAAATGTTGTTAATTTCAAGGTGACGTCGTTGTAATTTGCCTAGACTTATCGCATAATTCGATGTTGATCTGAAACTTAGTGTTTTTTAAAAACAAAAGTCGCTATGCTAGATGCGATGCATCTCTTCCGCTTCTCTTTCAGTCTCGCCTCACGGCCTCGCCCATGCGCTCGGGAACTCACAGCACCCATCTGAAGAAAAGAAGCAGTCGAAGTCGCAAGGACGCTACTACGGGGGCTGGCCTTGCTACCAGGAACAAGGTTGCAACTAACAAGAAGCTACTAGGAACAAGTGCATCGCTTCTAGTAACAAGTGCGACGCTAGTAGTAACAAGAAGCTATTAATTTAATTAATTCTAATAGCAAACATTGTTACTACCAGTAAGGCACTTGTTACTACTAGCGATGCACTTGTTACTACTAGCATTGAAAAAACCAACACGAAAACGGTCACGACTTGGAAATACTTCGCGCAATGCCCGAAAGCACCGCACACTCCATGAGCCCAGCGTATTGGTGTAAGATGCCAAATACCTCGAAATCAAACACTATTGAAATCGAAGACAATTTGGTGCAAAAGTGAGGGTCAAAAAGTCTAAATTATTAGCTTCTTGTTACTACTAGTAAGGCACTTGTTACTAGAAGCGATGCACTTGTTCCTAGTAGCTTCTTGTTCCTAATAGCTTCTTGTTACTACTAGTAAGGCACTTGTTACTAGAAGCGATGCACTTGTTCCTAGTAGCT